GACATTATATTCTGCAGTTCTTCCCTGTAGTACCGAATATCTATACTTTTCAAATTATCATATCAAAGTTAGAAATTCAAATATTGTGACAAAATTATTATTATAATTATTATTATTACCCTATTATTTTGTAGGGTGCCACAAGTTTGTTAAAATTTCCAAAGGGTGCCGCGACTAAAAAAAAGGTTGGGAAACACTGTGTTAAATGACTAAAAGTAAAGTAAAGTAAAGTAAAACTAAGTGAACCGAACATGTCACCATACGGGCACCGTATTATGCTTCAAACAACTAGGTTTTACCCATTTGTCAGCAATGGCGTTTTGAATTATTTGAACTATAAATGAAACATAAAAATGTAGAATGATCAAGAACAGGTCAGAATATGCATGTCGTTTCATTTTTACACAAATATATGAAATATTGAATGACGATGGAAAATTATTTCATCCACTATATTGACATTTTATTTGCACAAAATTCATATACATACACACACATTATTACATATTATTATCAGTGATTTGAGTACATTATTAGTGTATATGACTCACCCGTCCTGACTCGGTTCAGTATCTTCTTTCCTCATGTCAACTGATCAACACAATCCTATATAAAAAAAAGACATGTGAACACATATAAAATACATAAAAACATAACTAATATCTATTTGATAAAGTTTCACAAATAAAACATTCAAACAAGCATTTGATACCATTTGATAATACAACTAAGCGTTATCTAATTTCAATTATTATCAATTATATTAACAATTTCTTTAATATCGTAGATTTAAACACGATTTGTTGACAAAGCCTTCGTTTTTAATTCATGTCGTGTGAATTTGCGTCCTGAAAGGCAGTTAGCTCTAGCGTTAGCCTGTTTTGCTTGTCAAATAATCAGCCTTCACAAACATCGCAATATTTGCATAGGTTAACGGATGCGTTGTCAAACCTACAACCTGAAACGCAACAAACAGTTATAGTTTACCAAATTTCTGGCTGTTATATAATTAAGAACACATACATGTATCCGCTTTGGGAATTTAGGCCTCAATCCGCGGGTTGGATTTCAGAGCGATCCAGCCTCGACGCTCTGATCACCCGCCTGCTTAATTTCTCTGCATGCCGTTGAAAATTCGCATATGCTCCGTCTTCACAGCACACTTAAAGGCACAGATCAGTCAGACTGGATAAAAAAAATGAATCACATCTCCATACGGGCAAGCAGTGAGTGTCGTAGATCGTAAATATTGTCCAAACTTGTTTTGTGTGTTGTAAGAGTGAGTTTAAGGGAGGCGCTCACAAGCCAGTAAGTAACGTACAACACCGGTTCCTATCAAAGGCGTTAATATATGATTCCTGCCCTTATTATTTATTGAAAACGTTATTCACTCCCTTCCTCATTATAATGATTCACTTCAGACATTTGAGTTTTCTGAAGGTGTTGGAGAAGACAGCTATGTCCAATAAAGATAAATATTATAATAATAGCCTACATAGTTTACTAAACAAAACTCATAATCCTAATAAGAACCGAATTAATTTGATATAAACGTTTTTTGGTCCCTTGCTGGTCTTCCAGTCTGGTCAGGTGGGTCCTGGTTTAAAGTGGTTTTGGCACATTTCAGCTGACTCAAACATTGGTTTAGGTTTATTTATTTATTTATTCACTATACCAGACTGAAGGCCTGAAAATCTTTTTTTTCCCCCCTATATCATTAGGATTCAGTTTGGCGCATAGGTTAGAACTTCAAAGATACTTGTATTATTTGCTCTGATTACAGGTGCAGAAATGAAAGGTCCCAAACAAGAAACTCACCGGATTAAGATGTGAAAGACATGTTAGCCTACACAACGACCACAAATCCTGATAAGAGATTTGGAAAATGAGGAACAACCAAGGAACAGTAGTCATTGATTTACTCAAAAATGATCCATAATAACCATTAGATAATGATTTAAATTATTTTGCCAAGTACAAAATGTGTTTAATTCCAAAACTTTGCCATTTACCAATGTGTTGTTCAAAACACTTTTTACATTGTAATGGTTTAAGTTTTACGTATTTGCCCGGTTTCACAGACGAGGTTTAAGCCTATAGTCCCAGACTAAAATGCATGTTTGAGCCATTTTAACTGAAAGCAACTTGAACTTGCATATCTTAAAATATGCCAGTGCCATTGATTTGTATCAAGATGCACACCTGTAATGTTTTTTCTAAGGCGCATAAAAAAATAAAAATACTTAAATGTCCTAATTCAGCTAAGGCTTAATGCTCTCTGTGAAACCAATCCGTTAAATTTTACAATCCAAGTATAAGTAAATGCATGAGTAATTTTGCAAAATGTGTTAAAGGGGTCATATGATGCTTTTTTAAAGATCATTATTTTGTGTATTTGGTGTAACAGAATATGCTGACATGCTTTAATGTTCAAAAAACACATTATTTTTCAAATACTGTACATTATTGTATGTCCTCTATGCCCCGCCTCTTATTTTATTTACACTTATTGTATAACTGCTGTTTTTTTCTGTAATTCCATGGTTTTGTAAATACAAATTCATAATAATGAGATGTTTATAGATTAGTTAAGTAATGTTATTTATGTAGCCTATTATGAACTGTATAATTAAAATGAAAGTAACGTTTTGGCTAGGTATCAATTTTAAATGAACTTTTAATAAACAGTACAGTAGATATTGAAATGAAACAGGCCATAAAAATAATTAGGCGTTCTAAACAATATATTGTCCCCATAGATAAAACAGGATAACAAGAAACAAACCCAATGCATTCACCCAGAATATTTAAAGTGTTTCAATATTATGTGCATTTCTTGTTGTATATTAAGAGTGAATCTCAAAGCATCTATGGACATGCAAGTGAATTTGAGTCTTTGTCCGTTTATAAATCTCCCACAGACAAGACACACACAGGGATAAAATTTATCAGCAGCTCCTCTGCAGTATTCAAATGACTTATCACCAACTGGTTTATCTGGTTTTAACTTTGTGCACAGTTAACTCTTGTCACACATCTAATCCTTCTAGCAACGTAAAGATCAAATTCACTGATGATTAAACATACTAGGCTAACCTAAATTAGCAGTTGGTTAAAAAGACCATCTTGTACTGTCTGTTATGTTCTTACAAACTTCTCGTTTACATGTGCATTTAGTCATTTAACAGATGATTTTACTGATCTACTATAAGAAGGAAGCAAATGTCATGAAGCATAAAAACTTCTCAAAAAAGAAAAGTCATAAGTTCTTGAAGGAGCCTGTGGGTACACCATATGTGCTGCCATATGACTCTCTCTCTCTCTCGCTCTCTCTCTCTCTCGCTCTCTGGTAGAAGGACATTTCTATAAGCATATTCAAGACAGTCAGGTTTAATTTGAAACACTGAAACAGAGCAAATCCCGTTGAATTGTGATCCTCCTAGTTTGTATTGTGTATTGTATAAGTTTGTGGTGGCAATTACCAGCAAAAGTTGTGGGCAAACAAACTTGCATTCAGATATGCGTTCTATAAAAGATGTTCTTTGGATGCCAGAGCAAAACAGGGATCCCAGTGCAAAATTAAAATTTCATTTCTGTGGTCATAAATTATTGCACAGATCTCCTATTTTACAAGTCATCAATTATATATATTATTTTACAGTGTTTATTGTCAGTGCAGTGTAGTGTGTCTTACCAGATGAAGACACCACACTTACTGGATTAGATAAGATATATAACACGAACAGCCAATCAGGTGTGGTGTCTTATACATATCTGATGGAGATTTGCGGAACTAAACCAACATGAAGATTTTCCATCCTCAACTGACGCATCTGTGACGTTGTATTCACACTGGATGTTACCAAGGGAACTTCTGTGTTTTAAAGCAATTGATTGGAAATGATTGAAAATAAATTATTTTTCCAGATATTTTCTGACCCACGATTGGCAAAAATATAACATTATTTACTTGTATAGCCATGAGGTTCTATTTAAAAAAAAAAAAAAAAAAAGTAATCAAAATGTTTTTTTCAATTGGATTTTCAAATGTGCAAAATGTAAAATTCAAAAAGCTAATCCAATACGTTCTCAGCCATCAATAAGTATAAGTCCAATAAATGTCCTATTTCACACTTTACCTTTGTTTATAATTATCAAGGACCAGTTCCCTCCTCCAGGACCAATGAGCAGCAGCATCATGTTAGGGGTTGTCAGCTGTTCCTCACCTCACTGGACAGCTGCAGATCATGATGGTTAGTTGGTTTGATGAGATCTGGGTGGGCTTCTCAGATCAGATGCCTCCTGCATGACACGAACATCTGTGGAAATCAGGAAAAATGATCTGGAGGTAATGCATAACATTCTTTTTTATTTTTGTTCTTTTTTCATCTAATTATTTCATGGATATTTCAGTAGGTTCATTCAAATAACTTTACTTAGAATTGTATACCTCAATGCACAAATATATTTATTGACATGATAATTTTACATTTGATGCATAGTAAAAAATATATGTTTATTGCTCAATCACAAAGAATTCATATACTTTTATTTCTAGGGAAGTTTGTCTCTACCTGTTGTGTAATGTGATCAAACGATGCTTCTCCACTGGTCTTCATGCGCACAGTAAGTACCTTCAGTATCAATGATTTAGAACTATAAGTGATTTTGGTGGGTTCCCTGTTTAGTATAAAATAAAAATGAGGTGCAGTAAGATTTGAACCAGTCTTGAAAACGATAAAATGCAAAAACAAAATGCTTGAACTCAAAGGAGACAATGTGGTGCAGCTTTTCAAACACAGTGTGATTGTGTTGCTCACACAGTCAACACAGCTTTTCCCCAACCAATGTGTGTTCATCAAACACAAACACAGGGAGGAGTAGTAAAGAAATAAAAGGAAAGAATTGTTGAAGTAAAAAAAAAGATGCAAAAAAGGTTTAATTTGTTATTTAACAATAATGCATTTTCTTTGAAGCCATGCCATTTTCTAGAATGAGTCACCTGCAGACGGACCACACTTTGTGTCCTCAGACTAAAGATGGGACTGGCTTATTTCCAGGTGAACATCTCTAAAACACATACATTTTTACTAAATGTGGTCTATTGTAACTTGAGTCTCTCTAATATCCCATAGGATTTTACATAATGACTCAGTTCAACATTGCTGAGTTGGCCAGGAGAGGGACGGTAAAGAAGGTGCCTGGAATGACATCTCAGCATATTGCATATAAGATTGGCCCTGAGTTCAACTTCAGGATAAACACCAGGTAAACACCTCTGACAGAGACCCTCTATGCTCAAGAACAGTTCTACCTGAAGGGTGACCAGTTATGGAGATGCTTTAGTGCTCTAAAAAAACTGCTTTTGTGTGGAAACAGTAATGTTTGCATGACATTCATTTTGGATAGAGCTATATAGTCTGCTACCAAGAGTATATATCTGTTTAATACGAAAAGGCAAGTAAATATAGCAAAAGGTTGGATTAATTTAAGGACTTGAAACCAAGTACCATTGCAAGTGCGATTAAGCTTTTTACAACAGTTCAGTAGACAATAAGGTAATTTATATACAATATTGCCAGTTACTTTTCAATTTTTGCTCATCCATTGAAAATCATTCCAAACAAAATCAAAGAATAATCAAGCTTTCAGTGTCTCTTGAGCAACATACAGTAGTAGCTTTCCTAAATGAATCAGTGTTGTGGAACGAATCAGTTGAGCAAATGATTCAGACTCTCTCATAAACGACCACTTATCATACTATTACTATTTCTGCCATAGAATGATAAGTTAAAAGTAGTAGGACTAGTGTCCGGCTCCGATTTAATGATTCAATAGCTTTGTTTAAATCCAAAATTGCGAATTTAACTTGGGCGCAAAATTGGAATAACAGCATAAAACATTTGCGAATAAAGCGCCGTTGCCACCGTGCACCTTCATGTCAACTTGACCTCAAATATTAGTCAAGACTTGATCAAGAAGCTGCAAATTCATTTTAAATTCAGTTTGGATGGCAATTTCTTCCAGTAGTAATTGGATGAATATAGGAAGTTAATCCCACACTGAAATTGGTTTAATGTAGGCCTATATGTAGACCAATATGTCAGTTTGATTTGCATAATATTTGCATAATATTGCATATTTTTGATATGCATATTTGTCTTTTCAACATCAATTGCCCACTGGGTTTCCATCCAGCGAGACGAAGAGAATTTATTAGTAATTTCCTGATAAACTGGCGACAAATAACACTAAGAAAAAGGTAATTAGCTGCAGTAGAAGTCACTGTGGGTCTTTTTTTTCATATAAATTGCTTGAGCCGTAAAGCGTGCAGACGAAACGAGGCGGATAGCCTACCTGCTGTTTGGGAACGCAGTTGCATAAGATAGTTCTGGGAGGTAATTATACCGAACCACTTTAATGACTGACTTTGGTTTAGTCATTTCAGACTGACCAAAACAACAATTCAGATGCTGTGAATCGAGACCAGTCTGCTGGTTAGTCCAGGTATGCCTTCCCATTGCGCAAAGCCACATGATTTTTGATGCGCATCAAGGATTTTTTTTTCGGTAAATGTTTCCATCGTAGTGTATGTGTAATGTTTTCTTTGCGGATAAAAAAAATGTATCCGAGTCAGTTGAGCGCATTTTTAGAACTGATGCGCATCTTGGCATTTCCATTCAGCGTTTTTTATGCGATATCCCGAAATGCGCATAAAAATAGGTGGGTGGAAACTTTAGTGACTCACTCATAAAGACAGACTTGACTCCTACTGACATAATGTAATCTGCAGAAAAAGCCACTGAAATGCACAGACCGTCTGGAGCACAAAAAGACAGAGGGTTTCCATCCAAAGTTGCCAATTTAACTTGTGCGCAAAATTGGAATAGCTATCGCACAAAACATTTGCGAGCAAGCACCGTTTCCATTCAACGAGTCAAAGAAAACAAAATCATCACTTCCTGATAAACTGGCACTATACATCACTAAGAAAAGTAGGAAAAGCTACTGAATATAATAATTTTCCTACATAATAAATTGCACCTCAGAACGAGCAGACGAAGCACAATGAATGCGGTTATTGCTTTCGGAGGTGGATGCTGCTGTTTGGGAACGCAGTCGTTTAACAGTTCTGGGAGGCAATTATACAGAAATACTTTGATGACAGACTTTTCTCGGGCATTTCTGAATGACCATAACAACATTTCAGATGCTGTGGAATGAGATCAGTCCGCTGGTTAGTCAGGATTTGCCGTCCCGATGCGCTTGGAGGAATTTATTCGCAAACTGCATTTCCATCTCCCATTATTCGCATGAACCCCTTTTCGCACAAGTCAAAAACCACCTCAAGCTAGCGTAAAAACGTTTTTTTGCGAATTAAGGCATTTTTATTCGAAATTCAGTGTTTCCATCATTCGATTCTGATGCGATACTTCAAAATGCGCATAAAAGCAGGGTGATGGAAACCCAGCTAGAGAGAGAGGAAGACACAGAGAATCCTACATAATAAATTGCACCTCAGAACGAGCAGACGAAGCACAATGAATGCGGTTATTGCTTTCGGAGGTGGATGCTGCTGTTTGGGAACGCAGTCGTTTAACAGTTCTGGGAGGCAATTATACAGAAATACTTTGATGACAGACTTTTCTCGGGCATTTCTGAATGACCATAACAACATTTCAGACGCTGTGGAATGAGATCAGTCCGCTGGTTAGTCAGGATTTGCCGTCCCGATGCGCTTGGAGGAATTTATTCGCAAACTGCATTTCCATCTCCCATTATTCGCATGAACCCTTTTTCGCACAAGTCAAAAACCACCTCAAGCTAGCGTAAAAACGTTTTTTGCGAATTAAGGCATTTTTATTCGAAATTCAGTGTTTCCATCATTCGATTCTGATGCGATACTTCAAAATGCGCATAAAAGCAGGGTGATGGAAACCCAGCTAGAGAGAGAGGAAGACACAGAGAAACAAGAAGTGAAATGTCTGTTGAACTGTATATCACTTTTTGCATGCCTGCTAATCTATTAAAATTGGACAAATAGAAAATGTTATGGTAGAAATGGAATAGTAAATATAAATGGAAAATTTTTAATTTTCATGTTCAGGTTTCCAGCACAGCCAGGGTTTTAATACGAAGCTTATAAGACTCATCAAACTGAAGGTTTAGTCAGTGGTTCACAGTCTTTCTAAAGCAACAAATTAAATGATTCCAGCAGTTTAGTTGTGTTAGCTTATTTGAAATCTGGTCTTGTCTTTAATTTTAAGCCCTTGGAAGTGTGCTGAGGCCCCCTAGTGGGCCATGGGGCCCTTAATGAGAACCACTAGTTTAATGATTTCTCCAATGATACAGACTCAGTGTTTGCAATCTCCCCCTTATCAGAAAATCTCTAACCCGGTAACCAGGGCAACACTTGATAATGACTTGTACTGTTGGCATGTGGTGACATCTACTGGTCATTGATGGAACGTCCTCTGTCCATGGTGCTGAATTGAAAAACTAAATTATAGACAATTTTTTTTTTAATGCATTGGTAACAAAACAAAAATACTATAATAGTACATCATTCCATGGTAACACCATGTTTTTGAACATTGCAACAGTATTTTTCAAATAGTATTTTTTGAAGAGTGAGACAAATAGCATGGTACATGAATGCTGTAATCATTCAGTGCTATGGTATGGTTCAGAATTCCATGGTATTACCATCTGATATCATTACTGTACCCTTAGAACCACTACAATGTTTTTTTTTGTAGACAGTAATTGTGCTAATAATGTTCAGTATTGTGTGTTTTTACTTTATTTAAATATTGTAAAGTACAGTGGGATAAGTGTAGATAACATTTCTGTTTGTAATAATGTCTAATTGAGTCTTGATATTCCATCCTTCAATCAGATCTTCATTTCCCATGGGGCTGCCTGAGGAATTTGCATTTTCTGGAACCTATCGAATGAGTAGAAGTACACTGAATAAGAGTTGGAATTTGTGGCAAATGCAAGATCTGAATGGAAATGAACAGCTTGCAGTCAGACTCAACGGGGAGGCCCTGTCTGTGGAGTTCTCCTACAGAACCCAAGAGAACAAACTCAAGACAGCTTTATTCCCTTACCAAACACGCCTCTTCAATTCTCAGTGGCACAAGATTATATTGCTTGTCAAAAAAGGCTCTGTGAGCCTGATAACAGACTGTACAGCAACAGATTCACAGCAGCTGGCACCCAGAGGACAAGTAAACCTAGATGGATTCACGCATATTGGAAAACTGAAGGACAATTCAGCAATAGCTGTGCTGGTAAACCTTTCTTTCTTATACACATTTCTTATTCCATGCTTTTCTTTCTTATTCCATAAGGTATTTTCATTACTGTTTTAGTACCGATACTTAAATGTTCCTCAAAGCAATTAAAAATAAACAATAGTACTTACATATGTCCAAAACATCATGTTATATGTACATATGCACATTTTTTTTCTTGTGGTCACAATGTTTTTGTGTCATTATGAGATGTGAGTTTGGAGGCTGTTTAAAGGCTCAGCAGCTGACTGTCTTTTTAAATGGATTTGGATTTGACCAAATACATTTCAGCAGATATGTGAGAATTCTAGCAGTGAGGTTCTAGTTCAACAGCTGACCTGCATAAAAACTCTGAATTACTTATGTAGTTGTTCAATTTGAATTTGTGTAAAAACTTCATAGGTTATTATTTACATGTTTGTGGGTCACTGGTGTGTTAAAGCATATTATTTCCACACATTTATATATATATATTTATCAATAAGTATATACACTACCATTCAAAAGTTTGAGGCTGGTAAGATTTTTTATGTTTTTTAAAGAAGAAAGACTTCCACCAAGGCTGCATTTATTAAACCTAAAAGACAGTATTATTGTGAAATGTTATTACAATTTAGAATAATTCTATTTTAATATATTTTAATATGTAATTTGATGTGATGGTAAAGCTGAATTTTCAGCAGCCATTACTCCAGACTTCAGTGGCATTTGATCCTTCAGAAATCATTCTAATTTACATTTCTTATTATTATTAATGTTGAAAACAGCTGTGCTGCTTAATATTTTTGTTGAAACTGATGAATTTTTTCAGGATTCTTTGGTGAACAGAAACTTCAAGAGAACAGCATTTATTTGTGAAATAGAAATCTTTTGTAGCATTATAAATGTTTTTTTTTATTGTCACATCTTATGAATTGTATACCTCCTTGCTGAATGAAAGTATTAATTTCTTTCTAAAAAACAAACAAACAAAAAAATTTTCTGCCCCTAAACTTTTGAACGGTAGTGTAAAGTCTTAGTGTGTATCTTTATATGAGCAGACATGAGGTTTGTGTCTTCCTCGTAAGTAATGATGTCAGTAACTTTTGTGTAACTTTTAAATTAAGTGTCACCAAATGATATATGCATATATTATGAGCTCAGTCTACCACTACCATCAACAAGAAAACTAATTTAAATTCATTGTTCTGCAAAGATAATTTACAACAAAAAGTGCAACATAAAAAAGCTATTTTTTGAACAAAAAACTAATCAATCTCTTTTTGAACATTACACATTTTTTGAACATAAAAAGCCAATGATAAACAATTCAATACACCCCACAGACTCACATTATCATGATGCTTTTTGATGGTTGTTTGTCTGTTGTTTCAGTTTGAGCTGCAGTCAATGCTTATCCACTGTGACTTAAACATCCCACAGAGAGGCACATGCGGTGACCTTCCTGCAAGGAGAGAGGTGAGACATGTCTAACATCAAAAATTTAATCTAAGAAACTAAAAGCCCAAACTTAAAAAACTGCAATGTAATGCTACAGCTCTACTATTTTCAAGCATTCCCACTCTGTCTCCCAAAGACCAATTAGTGTTTGTTAACAGAGGTCAAATGTCACAGTCTAGTAAAATTTCCCGCCGTCTATTCGAATGTCTACTGGACTCCTCCTCTCACTGTGCCACTGTCCTCCAATCACAGACCCAGAACAAACCACCTCATGCATATGTTTGAGGACTCTGTGGTTATGGTCTCCCTTGTGTTCAGATAGTTGAAAGGGGATTTATTTGGGCTTCTTGGTCGGGGGGTCCGTCAACCCAACCGATCCCAGAAAACAGGGGCTTTTGTGTCTTTGGAGAAATCATGTCTCGCGCTGCAGGTGTGCGCGGGCCCTTTTTACTGATTTTGTTGGAGATAACAGTCATCTGCACGGCACAGGTAAATGCAACCCTTCTTTGTTCTTTTCCTTTTAGATATCCGAGGCAGAGTTTCAGGTGAGCGCTTGAATTTTCAACATATGTAAAGAAAAAGAAACTTTGCATTCTTAAACAGAATCACAAATGCTGTGAGATACTATAGGCTGTACTGCATTTTTGCTTCCATCTGGTCCATATGTTGTAAGTGCACACCTGTTGCACGAAGGTGTTGGAACTGTTTGCTTAAACTTTTTTTTGCATGCTTAAACTTAAAAATTATTTGTAGTATATTTTTACCCACTGGATCATTTTAGTTTTTTATATTACATAACCTTTGTATTAATGCATCTATAAACATATATATGTGAACTCACTATAGGAGAGCATTGTTTACTTTCTATTTTTGAACAGAGGGCTGGAGCCGGTCCTCCTGGTGTGCCTGGAATAGACGGCATTGATGTGAGTTGATTTTTAAAAATGTGAACATAAATTAAAATATAAAACAATTCAATGACCAAAACATTATGCATTACGGAAGATATAAAAGTATGTTTTTCTTGCAGGGGGAGAGCGGTGACACCGGTGAAGACGGTTCGGCTGTAAATATCAGTGTGTCATACATTGATATTATAATTTGCTATATAGGATTTTGTTGCATCTTCCATATTGTCATTTGTACTGAAGGGTCCTGATGGAGATGCTGGAAAACCTGGTTCTGCTGGACTTCCTGGATCACCTGGAGCTGATGTAAGGAAACGCATTAAAACCATCTTTTGGATTCTCTTCATAACATGTTTAAATTGACATAGTCTTATATGGGAAAGCAAACCTCAGTTTCACAGAGTTCAGTCAGTGGTGGGTGGCACTCTGAGACGGGTCAAAAATGCAGGGAATTTCTCATGCCGGACTGAAGCAAAGAACACAGGAAAATGGTCTGTCCAACAGACAACAGGGTTTTTGTTTAAGCACAGATACCCAAAGCCTGGACTTAATTAAAGTGGATTCCCTGTGAAAATGGAAGTAGGGGTAAAAAAAAATATCCACTCTGGTTTGAGACAGAAGGTCCATGAAGGTGTTGAATGACAGGCGATTTTGTTTTGGCATCGAATTCTGTGACTAATTGAGTAGTCATTGGTTGGTTAAATGTTTGAAACGTCAGCTTACAGAGTGACTAACAAAGTTTCACGCAACAAACCCTCCCCTAAAACACCCTTTTCAATTAAAGTCTGTCATTGTTTGTTATTGTAAGAGGTAATAAAGTAACATTTCACCTCTATGTTCTTCAGGGATTGACTGGCCCCATAGGAGAACTAGGCCTCGATGGCCCCGCAGGACAAAAGGTGAGCGACTATATGAGCTTCTCAGTTTTCTGCTTCAGTAGGGACCAGAGCTCAAATCAGTGTACTGACTGGCCTTGCAGAGGGAATTATAAGTATTTTCACATGACCACTAGTTCCTAATCTTGTCTGTGTGCTCACTGATCTGTGCAGCCAAGTCAGATTCATCAGATCCTGTTAAACTCACCGATGTTCAAACACAGCACTTCACTTGGCCTGAGAAGATTCTATGGCTTTATGTGATTTTCATAACAGTAACTGTGCAGCAGTGTGATTTTTGTGACTTTCAGAACAGTATATATACATATGTATGTATACACACACAATTACAAATTATGCACTATACACTTATTCTATGCACTTTGTACTTAACTGTCTAGTGTATGAATTATATAAGGTTATTTTGTCATCCAACATCAAAGTTTGATAGCCCATCCCCCTCCAGTATGTAACTAAAGCTGTGTCAGTTGAGTGCATGAAGTGTCCAACATTTCACAATTTTTATTTTTTTCGGTTAATTCATTCGTGCATCATTTGGACATTTCGAAGTGCACTTTTTCTTTTGGGAATTTTCAGTGTGAACACAATAATCACATTATTTATACTAAACTATTAAATTATGTACAGTATAATTAAATGATGTTAAGCCTAAAAAGTGACTTTGTGTAATTGAAACAGGGTGAACCTGGCAAACCTGGACCCAGAGGAGAAGTGGTAAGCCTAATCTTGTCATCTTTCAACATCTCTGAAGCCCATGCATTCAATAAAAACACAATTGAGCAGATAAATAGTTGTAAACAGGCATAAAGCTGATCTGTACCCAATGCACTGCATCTTTGCCTTAATTCTGACAGCAGCTAATGAATACAGTTAGTCAAAAGAAAAATGTTTCTCTATGAGATTATATTATCGTATTCAGTAAATATGAATTGTCATAAGCACATTTCAGAAATGGGAAAATAATATATATAAATAAATAAACCTTCTCTGTTTTTTTAGGGTATTGGACCTGATGGACCAATTGTAAGTAGATTTTGTTTTCATTTGATAATTTAAAAAAGCAGTGGGTGGAGTGGGTTTTGTTTTGGGTTGTGGACACAATGGTTTAAATTTGATACTTGTTTGCACAGGGACCACCAGGATCAGGAGGACTTCCGGGTGAGCAGGGAAAAGTGGGACCCCCTGTAAGTGACTCTTTTTTTAAACGCATTGCTTAAACAAGCAGCCAAATTAGCCCCGTCTTTCTTTTGCTTTCTTTTTATACTTGTTTCTGCTGATTTCTTGGTGAAATACAAATCCAATGTGTTCTTGACCAGAATCACTCAAATAGAGCCATTGCAAGAAATAGATTGTTTTCGAAAACTTAAAATAAATGAACAAATAAGCAAAAAAAATTTAAATTTAAATAAATAAAAAATCTGTAAAAATACCCATTTATGATATGTTAATGATGTATAGTTTTACAGTTCATATCTCACTCTGTCCATGAAAAATCAATCCCAGAGTTCATTGTAAGGGCAATAGTTCAGTATACTTCCTCTCATGCCAGGCAAGGCCATGAGATATTTTAGTTTCATAAAGAAGAAAAGGACTTTAAACTTTATGTTCTGTTTCATTTAGGTATTTATTTTTGTTGGTGAACTATTTCTGTAGTATTTCTCTTAGGTTTGGTATTTTGTAATTTTATTCAAAAAGTGAGCAATCTAAATGCTTACAGTTAAAGGGTATTCATACAACAATGAAAAATGACGTGTTTCTCTTTGTATAACAGGGAGCCATGGGTGTGAGAGGGCCACAGGGACCCCTTGGACCAACAGGGCCCCGTGTGAGTATTACTGTAATGTTTCAAGAATTACACCATAGCAGTGACCCTTAAACTCAAAACTGTAAATGTGTCACACCAACATTCATTTTGGGGGAAAATATGTATCATGACTTATCATAAATTATCTTGACTTCATTATGTTACACCAACAAAAGTAAATTTAAAAAGTCAGATCATAGTAGAAATAGTAGAAATATGTAATAAATAAGTTAGATAATGAGGTATAAGATTATAAGGTAGATAATATAAGGTAAAAACTGCACATTTCTGTTCTAAAGTATACAACTAAGACATCAGTATACACAGACTAATTAGGAACATTATGTAGAGCAGCCGTTATAATTATAAAACAACAGGGTGGCACAATTGCTTCCTTAATCAACTAATTGCCCTTTATTTCCTTCAAAATGGGTAAAAACTGTTCTAAAGAAAATCTGTCATGTTTACAGGGTGCTGCAGGGATGCTGGGCGGAACAATGGAACTGGTAAGAGGAAATCTTACTTGGTGCTCCATCAATCCTTTTGTTGCAAACCATATGAAAACCATATTGTTTTCGACATCCACATTGAAATATGTTGTGATAAACCATGTGTTTTGAGTAAAGTGCTCCAAGGTGACTATTAGATATTGCTGGACTGAGTGACATAAAGTGACGCTAATTTTTTATTTTTCTGATGTTAAGTGCTCTAATGCATGCCCATCTGGTGCACCTGGTCATCCTGGCTTGCCTGGAATGAAGGTGAGTTTTCCTGTAGATAGTACTTCAAAAGGAATTTATATATATATATATATATATACAGTGGGTACGGAAAGTATTCAGACCCCCTTAAATTTTTCACTCTTTGTTATATTGCAGCCATTTGCTAAAATCATTTAAGTTAATTTTTTTTCCTCATTAATGTACACACAGCACCCCATATTGACAGAAAAACACAGAATTGTTGACATTTTCGCAGATTTATTAAAAAAGAAAAACTGAAATATCACATGGTCCTAAGTATTCAGACCCTTTGCTCAGTATTTAGTAGAAACACCCTTTTGATCTAATACAGCCATGAGTCTTTTTATAATTTTTTAAAATAATGTATTTTATAAACTGTCCTCTTGTCCACTGTCAGGGTCATAAAGGGGTGAAAGGAGAAGCTGGAGAGCCTGGTAAACAAGGACACAAGGCAAGAACTTTATTTACAAAAAGGAACCAGAAGGATCTGGGTTTTGTGTACATATGTGTGTGTTTGATGTCAGCATGTGTCATGAAGTTCTCCAGAGTGAATTTGAATGTGAATTAAGCAATTAGGTCTGTTGTAATGATAAAAAAATCGCGTTTGAGACATTTTTTCTCCAGCTGTGACATTTTCGAGATTATTACAGAGCTTCATTTATAATTAAGGACTGACGCTCGGGCTGTATTAAGGTACAGGGTGTATTTAAATGGCGTCTATTAAAGTTCTGTATAAGAATTACACTCCACCGGTGCATGAAGAATAATGAGGGATTTGAGTGTTGTAAGAATAAGTTAGTGTGGTGACATTTAATTCACTCGTGGATGCTTGCTATATTATCCTCAAGATGCTTAGCTCAGAATCACATCATTTACCTCAATCAAAACTTTGTAGTTTATTTTTCAGTATTACGCTAAAAGCAAGACGTGTTTTGAGTAGTTTCGGATGCCATCCCTGCTTTAAAAAGAACATATCTATCTATCTATCTATCTATCTATCTATCTATCTATCTATCTATCATAAATTACTGCCTTTTGTGTCAGGATAACATGTGGGTAATGCGAACAACTGAGTCATTGTGTATTTTGAGGATTTTTAGAATTTCAATATCTAAAAGCGCTTTCTTTCTCTTTTTAGGGAGAGGAGGGATATCAGGGGGCACCTGGAGAGGTCGGAGCTCAAGGCCCAACTGTATGTGCATTTCCTGTTTATTTCCGCAATCTACACTAAATCAATGAATTAATCCAGTGGCTATATCTTGATCTAGTCTGAAAGCCTTGTTTCAATGATGTGCTCTCAGGGTCCGCAGGGAATTCGAGGGGCCACTGGTATAATTGGTACCAAAGGAGAAACGGTAAGATTTCGATAGAGGTTGATAAAAATGTGAAGTTGTTTAGTTTATTTCACAATGTGGTAAAAACATGTAGTATCAGGGGGAGGGACATTCTCATTCTAGACAGCATTTGATTGGACAAATATTTGTATACACACCCCTGCATACAATTTGAGAATTCAATATATTTGTCCGTTTTCAATGAAGAGAAATACTATATTGTAAATGCATTTATATAAACTAAAAGTCATAAAACTACTGATTAGAGCAGGGGTGCCAACCTGGCGATCCTGGTGACTTTGATTAGAGTAGGAGCTAAACTTTGCAGGACAGTCGATCGCCAGGAGCAGGGTTGGGCACCCCTGGTTTAGAGAATCAAAATGTTACTAATTAATACAAAAAAAGAAAATTAGAGTGGCATTAGATTGTATACTGCAACAGACAACTGATAATGAAGAAAAATGTAATACAAAACACAGAAAATAAATAAATACATCTGAAAACAATATGTTGTTATTTTTTACAGGGGCCTCGAGGTGTTGATGGAGACCCAGGCCCTCAGGGTGTTGCAGGGGCGATGGTAAGTTCTTTAACGTCCTCTATCTTCTTCAAACGAAACCAATCTATTCTAAAGCTGTAAACAATCCTGAAACAGGAAAGTTCTGCCTCTCTATCACAGTTGAAGGCTTTGGAGACAGTCGGTTTCAGCAGTGAGCATGACTTGAAGTTGATGTCCTGAGCCTTGGGTGTAAATCAACAAATCAATATTAGCAGATATCTGAGATGTGTTCTTTTTATCTAGGGGGATCGAGGCCAAAGAGGAGGAATGGGAGAAACTGGCCCTAAAGGTGAACAGGTATGTGACAACCATCATTATAGCAACAAAAATTGCACACAGTATAAGTTTAAGAGGTTTTTGTTTATTAAATTAGCCTGTGAGAAGTTGCCCATGATAAACTGGATCCTAAATGGGATTTAGTCATGTAGGACATGATCCAGGATCAACATCCTTGTTAGTCCTTGAAACAACATTCAGACAACCAAACAATGTTGGTCCAGGAACATGCCCTATTTGGCTATATCCTCTCATGCTAAGGGTAATACAGTACATCTGATTCAGATTTTTTTCTTTCTGCAGGGACCTCAAGGGCTGAGAGGCAATACTGGTCTTCCAGGGCCGAAGGGAGGCAGTGTATGTGGTTTACCATAAACTTTCACTTCCTTTAATGAAAATTCTGCTGGTACCCTGGTGGTACAGTGATGGTGTCAGATGGTAATAACATGAAAAACATGGTAGTATGGTAATTTTTGGTACTTTTTTGTTAGTGTAGATAAAATAATTTGCTTAAAGACTTTTGTAAGCATCCAAACAGCACCAATCTGTGTCTTTTTTCCAGGGTTTGCCAGGTGTGGATGGACGTGAGGGAATCCCTGGCATGCCAGGTGCCAAGGTACAGCAGAGTCTGGCATTCATTATTCAACCATGGCCATGTAAAAAGTGTGACAGTGGTAATAGTACTTTATTTAATTTTTTTTACTTTTTACAGGGTGCCGCCGGAAAACCTGGAACTCTGGGGGAAGTTGGCCTTCAAGGACTCCCTGTAAGTCTTACTGTAGAAAAAAAAAATGCATTCGATATATAAACTTCCATAATGACTGTGAAGAAGGTCAAAAATGTTTGCCAGAGAATAAGAAAGTTACGTTTTTTTTAAAAATTGAAATATTTCACAGCATTATCGGTTTATTTTGTTTTTGATCAAATAAATGCAGCCTTGGTTAGCATACTGTTAGTGACTTCTTTCGAAAACATTAAAAACTTACCAACCCCTTTTAAATACGTTTAAACAGTATTATATCCTAACTTTCAGCTTCTTTCTACAAGATATAGCACAATGAGTCACTCTCATTTTATCCTCGTCAGACATGCATTATGTGGTTTACCATAAACTTTCACTTCCTTTAATGAAAATTCTGCTGGTACCCTGGTGGTACAGTGATGGTGTCAGATGGTAATAACATGAAAAACATGGTAGTATGGTAAGTTTTGGTACTTTTTTGTTAGTGTAGATAAAATAATTTGCTTAAAGACTTTTGTAAGCATCCAAACAGCACCAATCTGTGTCTTTTTTCCAGGGTTTGCCAGGTGTGGATGGACGTGAGGGAATCCCTGGCATGCCAGGTGCCAAGGTACAGCAGAGTCTGGCATTCGTTATTCAACCATGGCCATGTAAAAAGTGTGACAGTGGTAATAGTACTTTATTTAATTTTTTTTACTTTTTACAGGGTGCCGCCGGAAAACCTGGAACTCTGGGGGAAGTTGGCCTTCAAGGACTCCCTGTAAGTCTTACTGTAGAAAAAAAAATGCATTCGATATATAAACTTCCATAATGACTGTGAAGAAGGTCAAAAATGTTTGCCAGAGAATAAGAAAGTTACGTTTTTTTAAAAAATTGAAATATTTCACAGCATTATCGGTTTATTTTGTTTTTGATCAAATAAATGCAGCCTTGGTTAGCATACTGTTAGTTTGGTTTTAGCATTTTGCCAATATTAACATTCTGGCTGATACACACTCCCATTATTTTAATGTTATGGCTGATAAATAAAAAAATTATATTTACTAAATACTATTTTGTCTAAAGAAATTAACAACAAAACACTAAAAGTAAAATTATTCAGTTGCTAGTGAATTTAGGCATCACAAAATTATAATGCATAGTATGAAAAATGGATATTCATTTTGAGATTTGCTGAAGATTACATTTAACAGTGTTATTTTATAATTCAAATTATTAGGTTTTTTTTTTATTTAAAGATTACTGTTATTAAGAATATAGATTTTAAGGTAAATTCTAAAAGTAAAAATCTTTTTTTTTCTTTCTTAAAGTGTAATACTGTTGCTTATTATGAACACTGTGTGATATACTCTCTTACAGGGTAATGCTGGACAATCAGGCCTCATTGGTACTATGGGATCTGCAGGTAAAGCGGTAGGTAAACCACCCAATAGCTAATAACAGATCTGTAATTATTGTGCAGAAACAGATTGTCTGACAGTAAATGTCTCTGTTCAGGGTGAGCGTGGAGAACAAGGAGAAGTCGGACCCATTGGGTCTATTGGACAACCTGTAAGTACCCAAAGCAGCATGACTAACGACTAATAGACAGGCTGGATGTGTCTGTATTTACTCACCAAGGAATATTTAGCAGATGATGATAGTTTCCTTGTGTTTAGGGAGAACGAGGAGAGCAGGGGCCACCTGGGCCGATGGGAAAACCAGGAGCCAGAGTAAGTGCTTAATCTGAATAATTATATGGTTGTGCTATCAAAGCAAGCATCTGCCATACTGTCATCATGCAAATTGATGAACAAAGTAAAAACCTTTGCCTGTAGAGAAATGGGTGTCCTTAGGTTGCGCAGAGGTTTCTCTTTTATGGCTCAGCATAACATGTTCAAGTATGAATCCTGCTTCAGATGTTCCTCCTAAAAAAGAAATAAAAATAGACACAAATTATAACAAATGTTGGCTAGCTATACAATTAATGTGGATGGTATAGTTCAGATTATTTGATACTAATACTAATACAAAATTAGTATTGTATGCATTTTGTCCAGAAAAAATATCATAACATCCTTAAATCCATCCATGTTCATTTTGACTGCAATGCGAAATCGTTTTAAAATTTTTTTTACATCATTGGCAAATTGTTGTTTCTTGTTTTAAGCATAAAGTATACTAAACTTATTTATGTATTTATTTATAAAGAGGAAAATAATCTCTCACAGTTTTGCTTGACAAGTAAATTCATCTTGTTTTAAGGATGTTTAGATATTTAGGAAAATGAGACAAACATAATGAAAAGAAAATGATTTTGTGCTGTGTTGGAGAAACTACATTAAAGAGATCTCATTTGCATTTTTTCCCCCTATAAGCTGGCAGCAAACCCAGAGTTCAAAGTCATAGGCAGCGCTACATTTACATTATTCTATTATCCCAGTGTTCAAAGAGAAAACAAGTCATTTTGACATCCACTAAGCTCGATCGCTTTTACTTATTTAGACTGTTTGGTGCGCAGTGAATTCTTTTAGGGGAATTCGTGACTTTATATTGTGGTAATTTGAAGGTCAAAATTTGGAGCCAGCGGATCTCACCTCACTGTTTTCACAGTAAAGAGTAAACAGTCAAAAGAATGTCTCACAGCAGTGTCTCTCAAGCAGCCCTCTGTTCCCCTGCCATTCCCACGAGCACATACTTCTACACACACAAACACTCACGTTTAAACATGAATATATTATGTAAGTATTGTGAATAAATTGCAACATAATTTTTTTTTTATTAAAAAAATATATGGGTTTCAGCAGGTTTTATGAAGGAAAATTCAAGACTTTTAAAGACCCTTTTAAGACCAAGTAAAAAATAAATAAAATGAGGAATAAATTTAACGGAAACAATTCATCAATATTTGCCAATGGGCTCAGAAAAATCTACTTAATTTTAAAGGGAAAACAAGTTTTTGTTCTTGTTTTAAGGATAAACTCACCTATTTTTTTTCTTTTTATCCGAAAACAAGACTTTATATGTTCAATTTTCATCCTAAGTGAATGTACCGTGATTTAAGGATGCTTAGATATTTATATTAAAAAACAAAAAAGTACTAAAAGATTTCGTTTTGACCTTTTTAGAACTTAATTTGTGGAAGGGCACATTAAGACTTGAGACCTTTTTCAGACCCGCAGAATATCATTTTATGACACAACTTTGAAATGCAGTGTTTACAAACATATGTTCAAAATTTATATATAAATATATATCATAAATATATATTAAAATTGTAACTATATATTCAGATTTATAGCTACATATTCAGCTGTAATAATGTATATAATTGTATATAATTATCCTGCATACATACAGCTATTTCCTATATATATATATCTATGTGTGTGTGTGTTAGAAATGTTATTTATTGTTTGATCAATTGACTGATTTACAGTACAATACCATTTGTAATGACAAAACTCTGAAACAATTCGCAAGACTTTAGAATAAAAAAATGTATTCAATTAAAAAAAGGCATCAATTAAATGCCTCAGTTGGAGAGTGAATTTCAGTTAAAACATATATGCTTGGAACATATAAGTATGGAACTGTAGATTAAATCAGCAGTGTAGAAAACACTGATGTACATTCACATACCAAATGTGTCAGCATTTGCCGTTTTGTCCTGATCTCACATTTTCTCAGACTGCACTCTCTTTTTAAAAATGCATGAGAGTGTTTTTGCAGGGGAACTAAAGGATTCTGCAGTCTTTTCTCTTTATTGACAAAGGATTTGAACCTTTCCCATCTGTTTGGAAATCCTGCAGTGAGACAGGAAGGAATATAAAAAGACATCAAGCAGAATTTCACAGTAAATCCCAGACTCTGACTGCATGTCATCTTACATTGATTGCCTTTTCAGGGTCCTAAAGGTGACTTGGGCTTGCCTGGACTTCCTGGACCACCAGGCCTACCAGGAATAAAAGGAGATAGGGTGAGGATATCTCTGCCGACCACATTTGAAGAGATTTTTTAAAATGTCAAAATATCTCAAACTTTTCTCTTTAAATTGCTGTTACCTTTTTCAACATGATTTTGTTCCCTGGTGAATTGATTAAACCTGTGCACCCTGACTTCTGGAAATTGAAGTCAGGAATTGTGATTGGTGCTTGTATCCTTAATTCTATATTTATTAAGGAACAGCAAAGTGTACTTGGAGTTCTGCTACATCAACATTCCCGTAACTATTACAAAATGTCATCTGGAGCTCTTTAAAAACCACTAGCCTCTTTATATTCACTGTTCTTGCTCAATTAGACAGTGAGGGTTCCACTTTTCTAGCCTTTAAAGCACTGGAATTATTATGTGCTCCCATTGGTGTTTTAAAGTTTAAAAAGCTTTGAAAGTACAATGAGGCTTTTGAAAATCAAACTGGTCCATTTTAGATTCAATGATTTTTTTAATGCATTGGAAAAAAGAACTTAAGCACCTCAAACAGACGTAGGATTAATAGAAAGAGCAAAATTCTGAGTGTACATTGAGTAACTGTTGCTTAGTTAAATATTCATGGGAATGAATTTCTGAATGTGATATTACACAGGGTGAAGCAGGAGAACCTGGACCAAAGGGAGAACAGGTAAGAGCATGATTCACATTATCATCAGATACAGCACTGCAGAACTAAACTACCCAAGATACTTTTAAAATTAATGCAGAAAACTAATGTAAGAAAGGCTATACATGTATTTAAATGAGTTTATTGAAGTTTTTGATTGAACATTATTTTTTCAGGGTATCATTCAGAGAACTAAAGCAAAAAAACTAAAATATGCCCTGTGATAAAGGGCTTTTTAGCATGGCACCAAACCCTTTAAAACGCATTAAAATCACTGCAACAGCCAAAATCAAATGGTTTATTGCATCTAGAATTATATAGTTTACATCTATATAATGAAAGACGGCTATATTTATTAATAATAAAAATCACAAACCAATTCTCTCACCAAGTAAAATAGTTACTGTTGGCTATGAATGCAGCTCACCCAATCACATTTTATAACCAAAACAATCTATTCTCAAAGTATTACAGTAACAGAACTAGACACATAACAGAACATAGCCATCTATATCCCTCACAGTGATGTGTTTTATTGTAGGGAGCTCAAGGTGCAGAGGGAACACCAGGAGACAAGGGAGATGTTGTGAGTAAAAGCTCTGAAATACTGAGATGAAAATAATATGAATACAGTATGCAAATGTACACTGAGTTTTGAGATATTGTAGTGCATTGTAATTCTCTTGTCGTTTCTGTACTTAGGGTGACCCTGGCCAACCTGGAGCTAAAGGAGAAGTGAGTTTTTGATCAGTATTCTTATTTTTGACTACTGTCTATTCGGGACTTGGCTCTGACTAGATAATCCATGAAGAGTATTCCTTGGCTTTATCTCAGCTCACTCTAGTGCTTAGATATGAAAATGAAATGCTATATTGTAATGATTTACTGTATGGAGATGCTAGTATTACATCTAGTTGTATACTTGCGTCTCTGGTGTAAATTCAGGTAGGTAACCAGGGGGATCCGGGTAACAGAGGACCAGAGGGTGCCCGTGGGCAGCCTGGCATTGAAGGGCCTCCTGGTAGTCCTGGACCACGTGGCATGCAGGGGAACAGAGGAGCTCCAGGACCTCGTGGCACCCAGGGACCAGCGGTATGTTACCAACCTTTGAAAGAAAGAGTGATTTAACAATTACACTTCATGAGCCAATTCTGTGCAAGGTTATTAAAAAAGACAGACACAAATAGAGTTTGCCACAAATTTCTCTTCACATGTAAATATGCGTTATCGATGTTTTATCTGCTTTGTAAGACAATTTTCTTGGTAGTTTTCATTGTTTTGTTGCACATCCTGATTTTGCTTTGCATGTACATTACAGTTCACATGTTTGGGGTCAGTATGATTTATTTATTTATTTATTTTTTTTGAAAAATTAATACTGTTATTCAGCAAGAATGCCTTAAATTGGTCAAAAGTGACAGTAAATACATTTATAATACCATCAAAAAATATATTTCAAATAAATAAATATTTTTTTTATTTGTATTCATCAAAGAATCCTGAATTTTTTAGCACAGTTTGTATTAAGCAGCACAGTTGTTTTTAAAACATTGACTTAAAATTGTGATAATTTTTTCACAATATTACTATTTTACTGTATATTTGATCAAATAAATGCAGCCTTGGTGAGCATAAGAGACTATAAATAAATAGATAAATGAATAAATCAATTCTTACAGACCCCAAACTTTTGAACGGTAGTGGTTATATTGCTATATATCTATTTATTGCTGTTCTGTCACCTTATTCAATGTATTCACATGTTTTTATAATGAGCTGATTTTTTTGGTAACTATCGGCATTAAACAACCTCATACATTTTTTCCCAATTATTCTGTATTATTCATGTGTTCACATTGGGACATCAAAACCAGAGAAAAGATGATTTCAATAGCTACAGGGCTCCTATGGACATTGAAAACCTTTAAATATTGTAAAATTTAAAACTGTAATTTCCAGTCCTGTAGGTGTCTATAGTGACTATAATTTTGTTCTGTTATGCTTAATTCAAAATATACTTAATTGGCAGTTTTTGTAAGAGCAGTCTTGAATGAATGAATATTTTTAATCCTTATCCAATAATCATGAATAATAGGAAAAGTTTTAGAAACTGAAAATTAAATTGTCAAAATGTGTGGAAACCCCGTAGTTGTCAGCGTTTTGTTATACACACTAATTTTGTTTGGAAAGGTACGTCAAGAAAAAAAAAGATCAGAAACAGTACTGTGATATCTGAAACATTCTGCAGCTTTTAAGAACACTTACATCCAATTCCAATGTTTTTCTTTGTTATTTTCTGAGGTAGAGCTGATTAGTGGTTTGAAATGAGATGAAATGATCAGAATACAGTCACATGATTGAGTGATCCCAATTATTCTGTATTATTCATGTGTTCACATTGGGACATCAAAACCAGAGAAAAGATGATTTCAATAGCTACAGGACTCCTACGGACACTGAAAACCTTTAAATATTGTACAATTTAAAACTGTAATTTCCAGTCCTGTAGGTGTCTATAGTGACTATAATTTTGTTCTGTTATGCTTAATTCAAAATATACTTAATTGGCAATTTTTGTAAGAGCAGTCTTGAATGAATGAATATTTTTAATCCTTATCCAATAATCATGAATAATAGGAAAAGTTTTAGAAACTGAAAATTAAATTGTCAAAATGTGTGGAAACCCCGTAGTTGTCAGCGTTTTGTTATACACACTAATTTTGTTTGGAAAGGTACGTCAAGAAAAAAAAAGATCAGAAACAGTACTGTGATATCTGAAACATTCTGCAGCTTTTAAGAACACTTACATCCAATTCCAATGTTTTTCTTTGTTATTTTCTGAGGTAGAGCTGATTAGTGGTTTGAAATGAGATGAAATGATCAGAATACAGTCACATGATTGAGTGATTTTCTTCCAAACAACTCCTCCTGTGTTTACAGGGTAAAGAACCAAGTGATCAACACATCAGACAAGTGTGCATGCGTGTTATGCAGGGTGAGTCTGGAAGCAAAGATGTTTATCATTTCAGAATTAAACGTAATTTCCCTTTTTAGCATGCAGAGTCACTCTTTTGCCGCCAGTGCATCAGAACTTTCCAGGCAGGAGAATGCAAGCACGGGCCACTGAAGGAAAGAGTGGGATGAAAGGAAGAAAAAAATTGTGTTTTGTTTCAAAGATTCTTTTTGATTCTACTCTGATGAGCAGAGACACTTTACTAAAGTGTCTCTGACGTTTTCTGACTGAAAGTTGAAATTCACTGTACCCTATAGCTCTTGCTCAATGGCTCAGGGCCTGGGATTGGATTCTTTACATCAGGAATACATCGGTCTGCCCTTTTATTCCTTCACACAATGGAAAAGGAAGTTGTAAAAATAGCAGCAATACTGTTCTAACATCAGTTCTGCCTCTCTCTAAGTCCTCTCGAGCGCACGTCGCCGATTCCCTCATGACTTTTTCATTCACATTTCACTGAAAAATTCATGTTCGTTTCAGCTGATCTGCACTTTTGCCTCATAGTGATGAGTTTCTCAGCCCCTGCTTTCCTCCGCCCAACCCTCCCTGATAAAGCTCAGTCAAGCATCGTGCTGCATACATTTTCAGGACGTTTTCTGACTGAAAGTTGAAATTCACTGTACCCTATAGCTCTTGCTCAATGGCTCAGGGCCTGGGATTGGATCCTTTACATCAGGAATACATCGGTCTGCCCTTTTATTCCACACAATGGAAAAGGAAGTTGTAAAAATAGCAGCAATACTGTTCTTTTATGCTCAATTTCCCATTGCAAATTGAAAACGTACAAGAACACCATTCAGAGGATGAATGAGGACAAATGAAAGGAATTGGCTTTAACAGCTTTCTGCAACACATTTTTCAAATGATCTGCTTATTCACATAAAAATATCAGAGCTGTAATAAACTAAAATAAGTCTAGGGTATTATTTTACATCCAAAACTTACAGTATGTGCATTTAAGAGTTAGACATGTGGCTTCTTTAGTATTGCACCTGGCCTGACAGATCTACACATTTAGCATTTATCCAAAGTGGCATACAGAAGATACACATTTTAGCTTGAATTGCAGGACTGAAGGTGTGTAACCAGGTGTGCACAACTTTAATCATCAATTAGGCCTGTTCATGTGCTTTGTATTAGTGACAGCCAAAAAAAAAAAAAAAATCCCCCTTTGAAGAATGGTTTGTTTTCAATGCTTCGGAGTGCTTATCGACGTCACATATTTTCAGTAAAAATTCATACTGTTTTATTATTTATGTTAAATTGTAGAACGGTGATGAAGAGACATTATTATTTTGCAATACATTTCTGACAACTTCGCACAACCACAGAGGATCTGCGTAGTGACAGTTTCACAGATGGATGTGTGGCTGCAATGCTTGTTGCATGCTGTATTTGGGATAGTGCACCCCAAAATTTTGTCACATTTTCCCACACTCATATCGTTTCAAAATCATATAACCAAAAGAGTTTGGTTACCAGTGTTCTTCATCTTCCTTTATGTCACACAGAAAGAAAGCCATACATGTTTGGAAAGACATGAGGGTGAGAAAATTATGTCAGAATTTTCATTTTTTGGATGAACTATCCCTTTAACATTAGAAATATGCAAATAGGAATCTTAGCCCATGGTTTAAAAATGTACAGTGTACAATATAAAACAAAGACTACACTGTTAATTACTAGCTCACTAAGCAGTTTGAACAAAAAATATTTCTGTCATGACAACTCTCGGAGGGATTGGCATGGTAATGTACATGACAATGTTAATGTATTTGGTCTTGGCGGAATAGATCTGCTACGCTGCTGCTGATGCTGCTGCTGCGGCAGAGCAAGTACCGAGACTTGCTACTGCCAATACATCCACAACATGCTGCTGTGAGCATGTAAGAAATATTGCTGCTGCAAATATAACATACATGAAATAACCCCCATGTAGCATACATGAATCCCTTCATAGCAGATCTATACAGGTGGAGCTGGGGAAGGTGGAGGGTTTCTGAAGCAAGCTGCAACTGCTACGGCAAGCACTAGTCATATATTTGAATGTTGAGCAACGAGCTCATTGGCTACCGATACAAGAGAGAACCAATCAGCTGTGCCATGTGATAATGATGTCATTAGGTCAGATTGAGTTAGACTGCGCCATCTAGAGTTTCATGCCAGAACTCTGTATATATTTAACAGCATAATTTCCGAATTAAGCTGAGGCTATACAAAGCACATGAATAAGCAACGAGGTAGCAGTGAAGCACTTTATTATTGGTTGTTTACTGGTCATAACATTCTTGCTGGTCATAACATTTCTAAGTTTCATAAACAATAGCTAAAACAGCTTTACTTTACTTTACAGGATTAAATTCGGTATAAAAAATGAACATTCACTATATCTATTTTAGAAATGCATGTTATAGATTTTATTTTGAACAATTCATCCGTACATGTTTTTGAACTCGTAATGTTTCATTAAAATATCATAACAGGATCTTCCAGTGAAACGTCAGACTTCTCTCTGGTGATGTGTGCAGGACTTCTCCAATCATTTAATCCACTTAAACTTCACCCTTGTAACCTCACATTCATCTGCCCCATTTTTGAGTGCAACACCCACATCTTAAAATCCAATTAGCAACTGATGCATAGAACCAAGTACCTGTCCTGCATTTTGGACTTTTTTTGATAATCCATTACTCTCAAATGTACATCATTATACGGAAGAAAAGGTCTGACGCTATTTTTGTTTCATTGCAACTTTAAGTGTAGTGTATTGTGGAGGAATCATGTGAGGAAAGAACAGGAAGATGTATCGTCCTCAAGGAGGCGCCCTAACATTAGTACAGAAACACAATAGACAAAACACAAAGCAGTCAGTGTGCAGTGTTAGATGACTCGAATTAGTGAGTGCAACTGCAAAATCAGTGGATAAATGAAATAAAAATTAGTTGTGCTAATAGCAGGGGACCGTTCACACTCATTAGCGCATTTGGTCTTTGCTATTTCAGAGCAGTTGGCCCAATTGGCTGCCAGTCTGAGGAGACCAGAGTCTGGCGCGGTTGGACTGCCAGGCAGACCCGGTCCCCCTGGTTCTCCCGGATCCCCAGGTGACAGCGGCTTTCCTGGGCATGCTGGTGCAAGAGGGCTCCCGGGACTCAAAGGGCCTCTGGGACTTTTGGGTCTTAAGGGGCCGAAAGGTGAGTCATTATAGGACTGTGAGTTCAGACTGCTTTTGGTCCTGGAACAACAACTAGAGCAGTGTATCCCAAATGGGAGTTCAAGAGTTGATAAAAAGCTAATAATTAAATTGAATATAAATTTAAAATAAATAAGATAAAACACAAAAAAAAGCGTACATATTTTATCCATTTACTTGCATGCGACTTTTAACCGACATCAGAGCAGTGTTATTTTAGTATCGAGAAACGAATATAGTTTTTATTAATAGTTTGAATCGGTGTTTATTTTTAGATTTTCCACTTTCATTTTAATTTCAGTTAAAGTTTTAGTAATTTTATTGTGTGTTTTTGTCATTGTTTCATTTTTATTTGTTTTTAATTAAATTTTTAATTAAATTTGTTTTAGTTTGTCACTTTAGTATATCAAGTTCAACTAAATTATGAGAAATGATGTAGCTAGCTGCAAGTATTATTTTTATATTTTTATTTCAGTTAACATTTATTTTTAAGTCACGGCAAGGCAATTTAAAGCACGATTAAAAACAAGTTGACCAATGTGCTGTACAGATTCTGAAAACATAGATAAGCAGACAATATATACACATCACTTACACAGCACAGAGCATCAGACCAATTAACAAACAAAAAAAACAAACAGTTAGTTTCCAACAACATGTCACTGAATATAAAAGTCATGAAAATGTTTTTTTTTTTTTAGGTTTAGCTTCAGTTTTAGTTTTAGTTACCTAATAATCCTGCATACTGAGAACATGCAAAAATCTCAGGGTGTACGGTCTGCTGACAAAAAAGTTTGGGAACCCCTGAACTAGAGTCATGTGTGTAAAGGCATGGTCATGTCAGTATTTGAACTAGTGTGTGTGTTACAGGTGAGATGGGAGACAGAGGGGGCAGGGGACCTACAGTTCGGGGACCCAAAGGCATGCTGGGACCTCCTGGACTGCCAGGTCAGTTCTGACTCAATCTCATGACCTACTTCCTCTTGTCAAAAAAAAATCATGGTATTAATGCATGAATAGAAGGGGAGTTAAAAAATATCATCTGCAAACCAATTCAGTCTGAAACAACTCAATTAATTTCTAAAATGATGCTGGAGATATATTTAGCTCCATCCTGGTAATAGACTTTTGAGAGCAAAGTTAAATTGGTGTTAAATTAAGCTGTCAGATGTCTGATGAATTGGAGGTATATGAAGCCTTCTGTTGTCTTTGTATATGTGCCACTGACGCTTACTGTCAGTCGAATGAAGCTGTCTGTTTCAATAGGATTTCTTGCAGTCGTTACCTAGTGCTCTAATTGTAACAGACAGATCTGCTGCAGTGCCATGTGCTGGTTTTCAGCTTTATATTTTCAAGCATTGAATTCTATAGAAACTTGCTTCCACCACAAGATGAAACCATTAAAATCTCACAATTCTGAGTTTACAGGCCATATTTACTAAACAGGGTAAATTAGCATGAGAGCGCAATCCCATAAAAACTCCGATGGGAGTGGAGAGTTCTGCATGTGATCTGCTTTTTTGGGTGTTAGACATTACATCTTGCAATTCTTCTGACTTTTTTCCTCAGAACTGCGAGATGTAAACTCACAGTTACAAGTTATAACTTGCAACTGTAAGATATGAACTCTCAATTCTGAGGAAAAAAAAAAATCTGATTTGTGAGCTATAAACTTGCAATTGCGAGAAAGTAGTCTGAATTGTGAGATAAAAATGTAGTTTTATTTTTTTTATTCCGTGGCAGAAACAAGCTTCTGTATAATTAAGTACTTTAAAATATTTTTAAAAAAAGTAATCACCCAAATTCTGGCATTTACTCACTCCCGTGTTGTTTCAAACCTGTATGACTTACTTTCTTTGGTATAACCGTAAAGGAGATGTTTAGCAGAATATAGGTGTTTTCTCCTTAAAAGACAAGAAATAAATGTCGACAGACACAGAAAAATTCTAAATGGACACAAAATGCTATAACGATAGTTCATAAGTGAGATTTAGATGAGATGAGATTTATACATCTGAATAAATAAGCTTTCCATTGATGTATGGTTTGTTAGGATCGGACGATATTTGGCCGAGATACAACTATTTGAAAATCTGGAATCTGAGGGTGCAAAAAAATCTAAATATTGAGAAAATTGCCTTTAAAGTACTCCAATTGAAGTTCTTAGCAATGCATATTACTAATCAAAAATGAAGTTTTAATATATTTACAGTAGGAAATTTACACAATATTTTCATGGAACATGATCTTTACTTAATATCCTAATGGTTTTTGGCATAAAAGAAAAACCATCCAATGGTTTTTTGGCTATTGCTACAAATATACCCCAGCGACTTAAGACTGGTTTTGTGGTCCAGAGTCACATATGTAATGTAAAAACACCATGACAATTGGTTATTTGACTTCCATGACTCTAAAATCTCATTCAGGTTTTTGTCCATGTGGAAATGCAAATGAGACTGACCTTAAGCTCTGGTCTTTTGCAATCTAAAATAAGAGATGACTGACCCGTTTCTGTCTTGCAGGTGAACCTGGAAAACCAGGATACGGTCAAGATGGGCGTGATGGAGAACGGGGTCCACCTGGTGCCCCGGGTCAGCCGGGTGTTCCTGGACCTCCTGGTTCAGCCGGACCACCCGGTTACTGCGATCCTTCGGCCTGTAATCTGAGCGCAGGTGCCGCCCACCAGTCCCTCAAAGACTCTAGCATGAAGGGACCAGGCGGAAACTAAAAACCTCACTGTTCTGGACATTTAGAGAGACAGCTCTCCGTTACAGCTCTGCGAAAAGCACAAAACGTTATCGCCCTTTGCAGATAGTTTTACAGCTGTAATGCCTAAAACACTTTGCCAACTTCCTGTGTACAGAAAACGGCAACATTTCTTGATCCAAACAAATAAGACACTTTTTTGTTCACCTTAAGTTATCTGTTGGTGCAAATGAACTTTCACAGAACTTATTGCCCATCTAATGTAATCCATTTCCTGTAGACTTTAGAAGTTTTTTTCCCTCAACTCATACTAAATCTGCTCTAGGAAGTGAACAAACATCAATGTGGCCTTCAGACCGGAGGCCTTTTTAATTTCTGTGTGCCAAAGATAAACCTGCCAGAAATATTGATGGTGCTGGAAGTTCATAACTGAAACGGCTGCCAGAGACCTGCTGTCAGAAACCAAAAGGAGAGAGGATATATCTAGATATGCTGCAATATATTCTGTACATCAATGTAAATTATTTAAATGTGGTTTTGTAAGAAATTCACTCCCCGCTAAAGAATATTGGTGATTGATTGTTCCAGGATTGTGGGCGGGAAGGCGATGCATGACCCTTTTGTGACGTGTACACATGAGAGAAATGCAGATGTGTCGTTTCATGGTATTTCTATTTATTTTAGGTGTTCGATGACGTTTGTACAGAGGTCCAAGGGAAACACATTTGAATAAATTTGATGTTTTTATATGATTTCAGAATAAATGTCTCAAACATTCTTATGCTTTTTCCTCTTTCAAGTAACACTTCCTTGTTGAATAGCCCGACTGCACTTATCTCAGCTTTTTCCACTCTCTTTCTCACTTAAATAACTCATTACATGCCAGTGCAAAAATGTTGGCACAAACACATTTCGTTTGCTCTTTCAGTGTAGATGCTAATTTAAATGCTGGCAAACTGACCTCTGCAATTAATCAGTAAGGGAGATTTTAAGAATTACATAAAATGTCATTCACTTCAATTAAAACTTAAAACATCAGTACAGACTAGACAATGGGTAAGCATGAAGTGAAAGCATGTTTAATATTTATTTAAACGTTAATTAAAAAGATAAATTTCATTAATACATAAAGTGGCCTCAAAGAGCATTTGGACACTTTAGACACTACTTAGACACATGCCATTGCATTAGAAAAAACAAAAACAAAACATTTCACAAAACAAAGTTATGTTTTAAACAATAAGACTTTAAAGGAATAGTTCACCCAAAAATGAAAAAAAATGTAGATGAGCTTGTTTCTTCATCAGAACAAATTTGAAGAAGTTAAGCATTATATCACTTGCGCACAGTGAATGGGTGCCGTCAGAATGAGAGTCCAAACAGCTGAAGAAAAAAAACCACAGTAATTCACAAGTAATCACAAGTAATTAACCAAAAGGAATCACTATTGTGTGAAGTGAAAAGCCTTGTGTTTGCAACAAACAAATAAATCCATGCATTTTAACTTTAATCTGTTGCTTCTGGCCAAAATGTGAGTCCATAATCCATAATAATGCTTCCTCCAGTGGAAAAATCCATGCACTGTTGTCCTCGAACATCAAAAATCCACCAACACATTTGTTTAGAACTGTTTTAGACTGTTCTTACCTGTAAATGGTGCTTGATCTCTGCATATCTCTCTCCTGATTCAGACAAGATGACTATATTGAGAAAGCAACATAGATAGAGGACTTGTATTTTAACCGGAAGCAACAGTTTAAAGTATAAAAAATTATGGTGATTAATGATTAACATCATTAATGTCTTAATGATGGATTTGTTCATTACCAACATGCAGCTTTTCACTTCACCAGACAACTGACAGACTGGAGCGTGTAGATTACGTGTGGATTATTGTGATGTTTTTAACAGCAGTTTGGACTCTCATTCTGACGGCACCCATTCACTGCAGAGAATCCATTGGTGAGCAAGTGATATAATGCTAGACTTCTCCAAATTTGTTCTGATGAAGAAAAACATCTACATCTTGGATGGCCTGAAAAGTGAGCCCTTTTATTTATTTATTTTGTTAAAGCAAATGTTCATTTTTGGGTGAACTATTCCTTTAAGTGTCCAAATTCTTTCTGAGGTCACTGTTCATATTCAAATCTCTTGCACTCAATTGCATGACAACAATATAAGTGGAATGCTGAAAGACTGAACTTGAGCATCCTGAAAACACAAACTAATGCATAAAATTAACAACAAAATAGCAAATCTTTGTACAGCACATAACCCACAGTAAATATTAAATGTATTGCAATATGGCATAGAGTCACACAAGTATGAGAAACACCCAATACAGTTAAATCAATATTACACATTACATCCAAAAATGTAAAAAAAATTCTCAAATCAGGTATCTAACTCTAAAATGATGGTAATGAACCGAACATGTTAGTACATTCATGGTTTAATCTATAACAGTCTGCAACTTTTGCCTACCATTTAAACTGAACTCCATGCTCATATTGTCTCTCATGAAGTATATATTGATTAACCACATTTCACAATGAATTGCCATTAAGTCAGAAAAATTCAGTTGCATATTGAGAGACATGCAAGACACTACTGTTTCACAATAAACGTTAAATTAAATACATTTATTAAAACAATGTACAATTATATAAATATGCAAACCAAATGCATTTACACAAGCGCAAAAAGGCAAAGGAACTGCAAGTGATGTGTGGTACTGTATCTGACCACAATGAGCATTCATTCTATTGAGAACAGAACCACATTGAAACCATGAATCATCTTCCAGATAGTCCATCAGGTGGTGATGCAATGCATATCAGGTAGATGTGGAGTTTTGTCTTAAGACTGTCCTTCAAGTTAAGTCCACAGGTTTAGCCCTTGGGAATAATATTGTATCCATGCTACATGTCATTAATAGCCTATTTCTGTAAATGAAACATCTGTGGTTGACTGAAAAACAACAAATATATTTCATGATAAATAAAACTGACAAAGCAACTGTACTAATATAAAGGGGACAAAGCTGTGCCGACTCTGAGATGCTTAGTTAGAAGGATTCTCTCACAAAAGAGTCTAATGACCTGAACCATCAATATTTCAACTCTCAGCAGAGGTAATCTGGTACATTACATATAAAAATAAAAGCTTAAAATGAATAAGAGTAAAACAGCAAAAACCTATTAAGGGTTTGCTTTGTCACACTTAACCGTAGGTGCAATAGAAAATGGAAAGAAAGAAAGAAAGACAGAAAGAAAGAAAAAGGTTTCTGCAGGTCCTAAAATGTCTTAATTTGACCTTCCACAAATTAAGGCCTAAAAAGGTCTTAAATTAGAGCAAAAAGTATTAAATTCATTAAGTCACTGCATCAAATTTTACATGCTTGAAAAAAAAAAATCGACATTTTCCTCAGTATTTTTGTTTTGTTTTCCAATACAAATATCTAAACATCCTTAAATCATAACACATTCGCTTGGGATGCACATTTAACATGAAGTCTAGTTTCCTGAGAAACTGAACAAAATTAAGTGAGTTTATGCTTAAAACAAGAACAACCTGTCAATGGGGTATGAAAACGTGTTTCCTTTTGAATTAAGTTGATATTTCTGAGCCCATTGACAGATATTTGTTCATTTTAATCAAACTTCATTTTGATCAATTTCTCATAAAACAAGACTTCTTATTTGATGTCACTATGCTTGTCAAGTAAATGATCTTTAGACATTTGAGCTGGAAAACAAGATCAAAATATTAAGTAAAAAACATCACTTTTTTTGCAGTGTGATCAGTAGATAAAGTAAAATATTTCAGTGGTTGGAAGCAGATTCAAGCCATAAGCTTTTGTTTGTTTGCTTGGTTTTGTAAAATGAATTTAAAAGTAATGGAGACCTGTTCAAAGTTGTATCGTCAAACTTTGAAACATTGCTAATATACAAGACAATTACATTGAGAGTCAATATTGACGTATTGTGTTCCATTCAATTTACTTACTTGGTTTACTTCTTTACGTGGTCTTAAATTCACCTTTATAAAAACTGCAGAAACCCTGGATGGAAGGAAAGAAGGAGAGAGAGAAAGCAAGAAAGATGTAGTGGAGGAGATTGGGAAGACAGAGATGAATAAGCAGCACAAACGCACCAAAAGCAGAATGTCACAAAACTGTCACCCGCCCACATGACTCCAGCAACCTTCATCTTCACAACAGAGGCAGATGGATGAAGTCAAAAGATTCAATGACTCTTATACGCCTTCAGTAAATCTCACCTACTGATGCTGGATCAAGATATTACAGATATCTATAAAATAAATAAAAACTTAATCCAAACTGCAATCCTAAAATTGCACACAAATAAATAAAGAACTAAATAATACAGAAACATGGTCTTAAGACACGTTGCTGCCCATGAAAAGTAAAATATACAAAGTTTGATGTTAACTGGCTTGCTATTTGTTAAACTGTGAATATGATATTGACAAATGCGTCGTCTTATAAAAATATTCAAGTAACACGGAAGGATGCTTTCCATACAAAGCAAAATAAATTCGAGATAACTATATTCAAATGCAAATAAAAAGCACTCCACATCTTTTCTTTGGAAAAACAAACCAGGTACACAACAAAATATACATCCAACACCAGTATGAGGGTGTTTAAACAGTCAGAAAAGAGGAACAGCGCTTATTTCCCTGTAAACAATTAAAGCTTATTAATGTCACGAGCAGATTTCACCTCACCAGCACTGGCTAACACAGCAAGATCAGTACAATTATTTATTTTATCATTCTTTGCTGTGTTTGGTCAAAACTTAACAAGTCTGATACCACTTTTAAAATTTGGGATTCAAAAATCTCTATAACATGGAACTAAAAGTTTTCCGATGTTGAAATACAAACAAAGACTAAATTAACAAGAAACAACTAAGAGATCTTCTGTATTTTACAGAAACATGGTCTTAAGACACGTTGCTGCCCATGAAAAGTAAAATATACAAAGTTTGATGTTAACTGGCTTGCTATTTGTTAAACTGTGAATATGATATTGACAAATGCGTCGTCTTATAAAAATATTCAAGTAACACGGAAGGATGCTTTCCATACAAAGCAAAATAAATTCGAGATAAATATATTCAAATGCAAATAAAAAGCACTCCACATCTTTTCTTTGGAAAAACAAACCAGGTACACAACAAAATATACATCCAACACCAGTATGAGGGTGTTTAAACAGTCAGAAAAGAGGAACAGCGCTTATTTCCCTGTAAACAATTAAAGCTTATTAATGTCACGAGCAGATTTCACCTCACCAGCACTGGCTAACACAGCAAGATCAGTACAATTATTTATTTTATCATTCTTTGCTGTGTTTGGTCAAAACTTAACAAGTCTGATACCACTTTTAAAATTTGGGATTCAAAAATCTCTATAACATGGAACTAAAAGTTTTCCGATGTTGAAATACAAACAAAGACTAAATTAACAAGAAACAACTAAGAGATCTTCTGTATTTTAATTTGTCTTTTTAATTTTTCAAATTGAATTATGTTGATAACATAATTTGTAATTAAAATATTTTGGACTATATATATTTATTATAAATATAATAAATAATATAAAACAAATGAAAATTATTTTTATTTACCTTTAACACAGCAAGATCAGTACAATTATTTATTTTATCATTCTTTGCTGTGTTTGGTCAAAACTTAACAAGTCTGATACCACTTTTAAAATTTGGGATTCAAAAATCTCTATAACATGGAACTAAAAGTTTTCCGATGTTGAAATACAAACAAAGACTAAATTAACAAGAAACAACTAAGAGATCTTCTGTATTTTAATTTGTCTTTTAAATTTTTCAAATTGAATTATGTTGATAACAATTTGTAATTAAAATATTTTTGACTATATATATTTATTATAAATATAATAAATAATATAAAACAAATGAAAATTATTTTTATTTTACATTATTATTTTAATTAG